GTCAGTAAATATCGCCTGGGGGTGTGCAAAATGAAAACATCGAAAATCCCCAAACTTTGGAAGAATATAGGTCTAGGTAAACTATTTCTAGAAAAATAACTTTTAGTTCGATTGGATTTTTATTTTACGCGTACGGCGACCGAGTCGGTTCGGAGGCTCTCAGATCAGTTTTCACGGGCTCAAAACCATATATTACTTAAAAATCGTTTAAAAATTAAAGAAGTAAAAAACTCTGCCTCTGAAAATCTTAATAGAAAGAACACAACCCAACCAATAGTTTCGTTGTAAAATTTTCCTATTCGACAGCAAATCTAATATTTTTCGGATTTTTAATAATTTTACTTATTTTACCGATATTTGACTAGTCTGCTACCCAGCCGTTTTTAGTGTCGTCACGCAACGCTCCTCCCCACTAACGGCCGTTAGTGGGGAGGAGCGTTGCGTGACGACACTAAAAACGGCTTTTAAGCAGACTAATATTTGACAGACATAAAATTGGCAAATTTCAGACACAAAAATCACTACTTAGTATACGGCTTTGAGCCATAACTTTCCTACCAATAAAAAGAGCAAGGTGTCTTCCTCAAATAACTGCAATAAAATTTTTGGGCAATCTTGCAGAGGAAATTTTTGAACGCCAAACAAAAGCGACCCTTGAGGTCAAAACACGCCATTTTGTCACGACATTCGAAGGCGGTTAAATCAATAAAAATGCTCTACTGGCCAGATTCCTCAAAAAGCGCTTTGCTACTGAGCAATATTGATTAGACTCGACTTATTTGCACTTCTTTTGCCTAATTATTTCACTTACAATGCGCCCGTTGGCAGTCGAAAGCCTAATTTTAACCGGCGGTCAATGTTTGACAGCATTCAAAACTCCAGGTTCAAAACTTACTACCAATTGCATTCATGCACACAAAAGAACAGATTTACCGACGTTGGCTTACATAACGATGTATGAAGACTAAATATAATACTTATCTTTTAGGAAATGAAGATGTTTTGGAAATATATAACCGGCTATTGCGGTCCCCTCACATCACTGATTAGTGTACCTGCTCGGAGTGGCAAGGAGAATGCGTTACTCACTTTTGTCCTAGGGTAGGGTGATGCTCCAGGGGGAGGGGGAGGGGAATATCAGTAGCTCTGTGTCTGAAAAGTTCTGGAGTAAGTAAGATTTGTGCTGCATAATTCACTAAATCCTTCCTAAAACTAAAATCTAAAAGTAAAAAAGATATGTTTGTTGGCTGGTTGAAAGTACGACGAACTGATTACGAAACCTTTGAGAAACAAACAATTATGCCACATGCGTTATCTATTATTTTGGGATATCTGGTCTGCTGATCCTGGCATGCGCGCTTATTTTAAGCTAAAAGATCATCAGATTATAGGAACACACCATGGAGCTACAATCTGGAACGGAATCATGAAAAATGAAGCAGCGTGCTCGAGGAGAAGCACACCCTTGTGGGAAGTTTACTCCAGCTGAGCGCCCGGGTAACTCTCTATGATAATAGCGTATACGGCAACTGGCTCCGCCCGAAAGGGGTAGCTAAGGTTTCAGGTATGTTGGAGGGTAGTGGAATTTAATATCAAAAGTATAAATGAAAGGTTGAGAAAAGGACCCAAAAGGAAGGATTAAAAAACAAAATGCAGAGAAAATATCTTGTTTTTTTTTTCTATTCATGGAGTTTAAGTGTCACTGTCACTAAGGACCAGGCAGGGTCCGCGGATCGAGGTCGGCCGATTACCTCCAAATTTTCAGCATTTTTTCTCTATCAGATAAGATTACGATCGGTGGTATTTTTAGTAAAATAAAATTAATTTCTTAGAATTTTGACCACCCCCCTAGTTTTTGGTGCTATTTTGCCCACGTGAGACGGAAAATTTGGGTAAACTTCCACGACGCATTTTACTTACTTGGCATTAGCCTTATTCATTTATACGAACTGTACATACTTTCCAGCCTATAACCAGCTCATGTCTCCAATATAAACGAATTTTGTTAAAAATAACTTACTTTGGAGCGGTTCCAAATATCATCACTTCGTGGCTATCGCAAGTAAGAAGAATTTTGGCAATTTTCCAATCTGGTTTTCTCTAAAGTGCGGCAGTTTATATCCAGATCAAAACTATTTTTTATTAGTCTGTCATAAAGTCTTTACAAATACGCAAACTCTTATTTGGCAAGTTAAAATCTCGTCGCGTGAGCTTTCTCACAACTTTAACCTAATTTCCTACTTTGCATAGTTGTAGTTTTTCCGGGAAAAATTTCACGCTTGATTTGCGACTTGTTGCAGGCGTTTATTGGCTTCTTTACTATCACTAAGAGAAAAACATTACTTTTTCAGGTAAGTGGCCATAGTTCATCGGCCTATTTTGTCATTTGGTAGGTCAAAATCCCCTCCCGTAAGCTTTCTTCAAATTTAACTAATTTGCATGTTGTCGAATTTCCCCGGGAAAACTTCACCTGTCTGTTGATATTATATACAAGCGATGATAACCCTGCACGTAATTAATTATTAATTTTTATGAGGTTCTTGTTTTTGAAACTAATTGTTGTTTCGATCTTGCAGACGTTGACAGTCCACAAATTTGGGGCGAACATAACAATTCTGTCATTTCACTAAACATGGACATGCAAATTAATATGCCAGACAGGCTCAAGATTGTGTTTTGTAAAGTAGTGAATAGTTTTGGAGACTAACAGAGTTAATGTTTTCTCCACGTGTGATGGAAGGCAAACAGGCTGCCGAAATGACAGTCAATTCGTGGCAGAGGAAATGCAATTCGAACAGATGCGCAAATTAGTGAGTCGAAACTTAATGCATTATAACGTAACAGATTTGACACAACGTTACTAAAGTTGATCAATCCGTGTGCATTGCTGCTGAAATCTTCCGGCACTGCTCTTTTGTCTAGGAAGAAAACCGAATTGGTTTCATCCATGATAGCATTCAAGCATAGCGACGGACAGCTGGTGTTTAGCAGTATGTAAAAATCCTTGCAGTTTTTTGTTTTACTGTGTTTACCATAGCATTCATTCAGTTTGCAGTCTTATATTGCTCACGATTTTTTAATTTACAAGTATTTATAAACCCTGTTATCGAAGGGTCTCCCTGTACCTATCTAAAAGGCCCCAATGGAGAAGATTGGGGTAGAAGCATAGAGATCCTCCCTACTAAAACCATGTAACGTTATTTTTGAAAACACGTGCAACTCTCAGAGAATTTTTGAATGGCCTCAAAGAAAGTTTTTTTTCTTGACAGTGGTCCGCTTGTCGTCAGGTGTAGCTGATTGCAGATTTCTTTCAGAGCTGCCAGTTTGAGTGAGTCAAGCTTCTTGTTTTTTACAAGTTCGCAGATATTGCTAATGCCCACGATGATTGGATGGCTTGGTTTGCCCATATCATCCATCACCAAACTTCTAAGGGTGTCAAACGCTATTTCCGACTCGGCAGCCTCGATGTCTTCCTCCGAGATTTCCTCCGCATCAATACCCCTATGACGCAGCGCCGCTGTCTGACGTGAAAACAGGCTACTGATCTGCTGCGCAGTCCTCCACTCTTCAGGCTTAAACGTGGGCTCTCCGTCCTCATTTCTGAGGGTCTTCATCTCCCTCGCTACCCGTACAGGATCGGCCTTGTTTCCAGTTCTTGTACCCTCTTCGAATTTCTTCATCAAGAAGAAATCATATCGTACTGGCCTGACACCGGTTCTCACCCCTACTTCTCTAAGACTTAACAAGAGAGGCCCATTGTGGTAACATCCAGCGTTATCCGATCGGAGGTAGGCTGTTGTCACCCCTGGATACTCCAGTTTGACTTTTTGCAGCAAGTCCTCTATTATTGAAAGAACTGCAAAGCTATTTTGGGTGCAGTTGTTGAAAATGTGTACAAAACACTCGACTTCATGCTTGCTCTCCACTGTTGCTCTAGTGATTACTGCACTGATATGCCAGCTTCTTCCTCTCTTGCCAAAAAAATCACTCATGTGTTCTCTGTATTGCACAGGCAGAAACTTCATTGCCCAGTCCATTACGACAAGACACGAGTTGTCGTCTAGCTTCTCGAGAATATCCTGCTTGGCTTCGTCCTGGTTACTTGACCGTAGCAAGTGATTCTTCCACGCTTGTATGTTGCGCACACTCTCAGTGTACTCAAACCTCCACCTAACCCTCTCCTCTTCCGTCATGTCCGCTTTGTCTTGCATCTCTGCCACCTGTTTCAGTACTCCTTCTAGACTCTCACAGCGCTCACATTCGTAGCAATGTTCATGATCACATTCGCCCCTGAACTCCCATGCACTACTGTCACTTAGTGCGTGGACCGTGCAGTGATCACTGCAATGTTCTCCTCGTCCGATGTGTGTCTTGAAATCATTCTTTAAGTACCTTTTTGCATCCTTTAGAAATTTCTGAGTGGCAGTAACGTTGATGCCCTGATCTGCTAAGGCCTCCAACATAGAAAAGAGTTGATCAAAAGCCTCTGTACCCTCTGCAGTGGTGTTGTCAAGTCCCTGAAGGGATTTCTGCATAGAGGCCGAACACACTTCAATCATTCGGTAGAGAGAACGCTGGCTCGCCGGCTCGAACTCTTGTTCTTTACAATAGTCTAAATATTGTCTGATGATGCGTGAAGGAATGACGGTCCTAATGACTGCTGGTATGACAATTTTCTCCCCCGAGTCAAGCTTGAGAGTCTTTGTCCCGAACGCCACGTCTTGGACAAATTCTGGTCTGGAGATATATTCAATGAAATGATCCACCTTTTCATGCTCAATTCTTGTACGGAAACTAGGAATTTCAGGGAGAGGCTGGCCTTTCCCTGCTTCTGTTGCATGTTGGCGAGCTTGGTCGATGCGCCATTTGGAAAGCCCAGGGATCATCTCTTGAAGCTCAGCTCTTGAAAAGTCGTCTGCAAAGAGGGAAAGGATCTGTCGCTTTGTTTGCCAATGACCTGCTTGCTCATAGGCATTGACTAAAATGTCGACAAGACCAGAGTTGGGATCAAAACGCTTGCGCTTTCCTTGGTTGTCTCTGTTTGGATCCAAAAGTACCTCCGTTTGTAACGCCTTCAAAACCAGTTCCTCTTGACCGGGAGTGATGACAGACAATGAAGTCACTATAGTCTCCTTAGCTTTGCGGATGTAATATCGCTGCTGGGTGTCGGAGACGTCGTCCCAGGTCGTGTTCAGGCTGGACATTACGGGGCTGTAGCGGCCACCTGAGATGCTGTGGACAGCTTCGTTTAATTTCTGCCGTTTGCTGTTTTGTTCCTCCATCTCGTCAACCCATAAACTAATCTCTTCGTCTGGTATCGAGGCTTGGGACGAATGGGACTGCAAAGAGACTGTTTCTAACCCCTCACCAGTGCTTGAGACCGCTGCACACACCGTGGCTGGCAATGTGCTCTCCTCACAAACAGTAATGACAGAGACAGTGGCAGAATCAGACTCCTCGATCTCGTCTCCAATCACCAAGGTGTCTGAGTAAGGATCCTGAAGCGTAATAAAATAGATTAGCAAATTATGGACAAGATCGTCAACAATTCCACAAAGATCTCCAATACATGTAACTGTGGAAACTCTATATGTGTTTCCTAGCCGCTGCCAAAGGGTGCCCTCGCATCTTTGTTGTTGCTGGTCTCTTCAAGCACTGGTCAAGACCAATTTGTCATTCAGAAAACATTCAGATGTAGTCGAGTAATTGTTCTCGACGCGCGATCTGAAAACTCTAGACATGGCTATCATTATAACTAGGTCCCAAGCCTCTTGGAAATCGACCACACCTTAACGATTCCAAATGGCTACCCATTGAAGAAAAGACAGGAAAACCAACAAAGGTACGTGTTATTCATGTTGTCAGTTGTTATAGATATCAGTGCACCTGTTGGCGGTATCAAAACATCCTCTGATTATATGGTCAGTTACACTATGCTTAGTTACACTAAGCTGTGAATGGCCAATGTGTACTAGCTTACCTGCTCTCCAGACATGAAACCGTGAGCCTTACGGGATTTGTAGTGTGCTCCACGGCAGCTGGAACACACAGCTGTCATAAAAAATGATAATGATAAATAGATTAACAATACTGACAACAATAACCAACACGATCACCATCAACGTGATTGACCCTTTATACCGTCACCATCGTCTTTATGGTTATCGTTATCATACCCATCATCAATATACAGTCAAGGGACATATATATTCGTCACTTTCAATATGGCGGCGTTTACGCGCGCTGTTTTAACTTCGTTTACGGTAAATTTAAGTTTAAAATCACCTTAGTATTTGGTAAGATGACCCGTCATTTTGATAACATTGTCTAGGCGATCAGGAATGGGCTGGTAAAGCTTTCATATTCAATCTAATTGGATCTTCCGCTACACACTCTCAGTTTCACGAAGAAGGTCATTCTTGGTAGCGATATTTTCAGTGGACTTTTGTAACTCTCTCTTGATGTAAAGCCAAATGTTTTCTATTATATTTAAATCTGGAGACTGTGCTGGCCATTCCATTAAGGGTACTTTGCTTTATCTTTATAATTATTTACATTGTGTGCTCCGCTGTGAACTGGCGTATTGCCATCCATGAACATGTAGTCTTTGTCTTCTAAGTACTAAACAACTACTGGCCATACATTATTTTCTAGGATGTCAATGTACTTGGCAGAGTTGCTGTTGCCTTCAACTGAAGTCACACTTCCAACACCATCATATCAAAAACATCCCCAGATCATCAAATTTATCTTTTGTTCCACCTGTGATAGTCGTTCTTAGAATGCTCAACAGTCTTGACAGTTCAGCTTTGTTTTTCACGGATTCTGACAAAGTAACAATTAATTCTTTTGTCTCTGCAGACAGTTAAGCACTTTGTCGACTCACGAGTGCTGAATATTGTTTATCAGAAGCAAAACAAAATAACTGTGATCTTTTTTTGCGACCACCCGTTGCAGTTACTGTTGAATAAATGACTGAACGATGTGTCAAAACACAAACAGCTTTTGTTCGTTTCCTTTTGGGAAGTTTGAAATTTTTTTCTTGCTCTTAGTCGGATGTTTGTTTGTTTTTATTTTTACATAATTTTCCCGCCTTTATTGACCGATGTCGCGCTCCGCATCTAGTTTTCCCCCGCGTAGTGTGCACAACGCGGGTAAGAATTTCGCGCGTTATTTTTGATAGTGACGAATACTTATGTCCATTGACTGTAGTTTGTGTCACTCACGTAAGACCAAATTAAAGTGCGGTAATTTGCTTTCTTAACAGCTAAAGAAAGGAAGGTGAGTGAAATAAGGAGTGTTTGGGCGTCCCTTGCAGCCCCACCCAACTTCCCATTCCCTCTACTCCCCCTCCTAGTTCTCCTCTTCCCCCGTCCTCTCCCATTTGGCGTCATCTTGCAGGCGGGGTGCTTGATTAGCAAATTACCACTTCAATCCACCTCGAAACACTACCCCAACGTCCCCTCTCCCTCCCCTTTTCCGAAAAAGTCAGAAGGATATCAGACAATGCAACAGAATTAGGCAATGCCTTTGTATATTTAAACGAGTCGACTAAAAGAGAAAAGCTCATTCAAATACAAAAAGCAATGGCATCGGATTACGTTTTGCTTCGTTCCCTTAGCATATTCCGATAAAGAAATAAAATTTATGTACTAACCATATCCATAAGCACAAAGTAAAATAAGTACCTTCGAAATAAAGGTTTCGTTTGTATTTACCAGTGAAGTCCATACTACAACTCTAAGTATTAAGGCTGCGGTCTGGCTGCACCCGATTTGTACTTACCCGAGCCAATGGGAACTGTGGCTTGGTGAAATTGATAAATTTCTTCCGACAAGGTGGCGTTTACGCGGCGCGGTTTCTTTATAGTTTTCCGCGGTCCTCGATGACTTGGATACGAGCATGTGTTGCTCTTTCTGCCAGCCCAGTCTGTAGTTAGTTTTTTTCTGTGTCTCGGGCATATTGTCATTGACATTTTCTCGTTATCGGTTGTAACAAAGTATCCAGCTCTATTCAGGATCAGGTCAACCTCATTAACGTTTTCGTCTCCGGTTCGCAGTTGCCCTGAGCTGACTCCCAGGCTTAGTAGATGTGCAGTGATGTCTAGCTTGCACGCCAACAGGGGTACAACCTGCGACCCCGTGCCCTCCAAACTACAGGCAGAATCAGGAGAACTGAACGAACAAGTCAAACTAACATCCATATTGAAAACAGCAAAATCAGCTGAACAGGACAGCTGTCTGCAGATAATCAGATAAGGGATGGAAAATTATCTTTCCCTGAAGTGTACTTCTACCAAATAACAGAACCGCTCAATATTTCAAAGAGTTTGACAGTGAAGTATAGTATAATATGCAGGCCACCTATCTGAAAAAGTAATGTGTTGCTCTTAGTCACAAACACCGGGAATATGTCGCAAATTAATCAAGCGTGAAATATTTCCGGGAAAAACGACAATTATGCAAATTAGGAAATTAGGTTAAAGTTGGGAGAAAGCTCACGCGAAGGTATTTTAACTTGCCAAATAAGAGTTTGCGTATTTGTAAAGACTTTATGACAGGCTAAAAAAAAATAGTTTTGATCTGGATATAAACTGCCGCACTTTAGAGAAAACCAGATTGGAAAATTGCCAAAATTCTTCTTACTTGCGACAGCCACGAAGTGATGATATTTGGAACCGCTCCAAAGTAAGTTATTTTTAACAAAATTCGTTTATATTGAAGACATGAGCTGGTTATAGGCTGGAAAGTATGTACAGTTCGTATAAATGAATAAGGCTAATGCCAAGTAAGTAAAATGTGTCGTAGAAGTTTACCCAAATTTTCCGTCTCACGTGGGCAAAATAGCACCAAAAATTAGGGGGGTGGTCAAAATTCTAAGAAATTAATTTTATTTTACTAAAAATACCACCGATCGTAATCTTATCTGATAGAGAAAAAATGCTGAAAATTTGGAGGCAATCGGCCGACCTCGATCCGCGGACCCTGCCTGGTCCTTAGTGACAATGACACTTAAAAATAGGAAAAAGGGAGGGACGGTGCATTTAACGCGGGATGCAAAGAAAAGCGACTTTTTAAGGGACACCATTTTTAAATGGAAAGTGCACGAAAGAGGAGACCTTTACAGTCAAAAATGGTATATAAATGGGTAATGGGTTCATTCCTGGGGCAGTGACTCCCCGTATAAAACTTTGTTGGGTATCCCGTGTCGTTGGGCGTGTCAATGTTGCGTTTGATGTGCTGATCTGGAAAACGAAGAGAAACGAAGAAAACTGATCGATGAACACGTAAAATCGTGCTCTTTTAACTAATTACTGAGATTTCAAACATGTCCACCTACGCTCTTCTAACATTCTGCAGTACAGTATTCTTCCAATTTCATTGCGTAATAACAGAAAATCTGGTAAGCTGATAAGCAAATTTACCCGTTTGGGAATAAGTATTCGAATAGCCTCACTACTAAATCTCCTGGCATCTAAGCTAACGAGGGACTGTGTTTCGCGGCTTGTACGCGTGCGGAGGTAGGGTGGGGCAGGGAGTCGGGGTGTGGAATTGGGGTTATGGATGTTACTGACGCTAAGTGTAAAACACAACCTAAAGAAAAGCGAAGTTTCAGCTAAATTTAAATCTAGGCCTAGACTGATTCGGCTCGGTAACTGTTTAGCAACTTGTACAGATTGACTCCATTTCCATAATGAATGGGTATCCTGTGATAATATTTCAAATATGGTAAAAAAATACGTACATTAAAGGCAGGACGCTGCACCCCTCTGCTGCTTGTTTCAGGTTCAAGGATTAAGGCCGAATGCTGTTTCACTGGAAGAGCTTAAGATGTTCTCTTTGTGGATGACAACATCATAGAAAACTTAGCGACAAAACTTTCTGCCAATTTTGCAGCTGCTGACGGCGTTGTGTACTCGAGTGATACGCGATAAAGTAGCCTTAGGACGTGTCAGTTTTATTTTCTCAATATTTTAGCTGATTGGATCTTTTTTTCTAGAGATCAAACGATGACAACCATCACGTAGGATCTTCGTCCTCCCCTTATGCAGTTTATTTCTAAACCGGAAGTGGAAGGTTGTCATAGTGTGTTCAATCAGTCAGTTCAGTTTGTTTTCTCTCATTTTTTAACTAGTGATAAGCTAGAGCCTTTTTAAAGATTGTTGTTTACAGTTATAAAAGTTTCTCCTGGTTTCTTGTTTTTTTGTTGCCCACTACGAAACTTTAGAAATAAACTCCAGACGCTGTAGACGAAGATCCTGCTGGTTGTCAACGTTGGATCGCTAGAAAAAAGTTCTAATCAGCTAAAATATAAAGAAAAAAAAAGAGAAACGTCCTAGGACGGGATAGTTTCAGGCTGGGATAGTTTTGTGTGACTGTCCAGGCCTGCTACTTAAATTGTTGAGTCAGCTTCCGGTTTGAAGTGCATTGCACTTCCTGTTCTGTGTCACGCAAACGTGACATTCCCTCTCGGTAATAGCGGAGCTGCACCCGCGCGCGAAGCGCGCGCGTGGGCGGAGCCCCATAGGTAAGGAAATGTGGTAATCTACCCGTCCGAGAAAATTTGGTAATCACGTGACCGTACGCCCGACCGTCCGTCCGCACCACAGGGAAACCAATGTTTACTGTCATACTTTCTAGCTAGTTTGGAAGCCCAAGAGAAAACTAATTGTACATGATTGCACATTAATATTTTGATCAATTGACAGCTGTCAAAACAGGTTATCCGCTGACCAGTATCACCTGACCATACCGCGGGCTCAAGGGTTCACCCATCGAGGTCGAGTATTTTTTGAAGTTATCCGCTGACAAATTACCAGTTTCAAATGATCGTAGGCTTCATGAAGTCGAGCACAGTTTATACAGCAAGTTTATGCACGTTTTATAAGATTTGAGTCAATGATCTGACCTAGTATCAAGTTTGATATAAGCTTACAGAACTTTTAAAAAGCCTTCAGATATATTTTCTCACCGCAAATAGAGTGAAAACGTTCCGAAGAATATATAGCTATAAATTTGGCTGTAGAAAGAAAACTTTGAACGATTTTCTTGCTTCGAGAAGTGCACAGAAGTGGCATCTTTGAAAAAAGCAAACACCGGGAGGCCGGCTGAAATTAAAGTAAAACATATTAACTTTTCAGTTTAAAGACTCAGGATTTTTAGAGACACTTTAATACTTGTCTTCGTGAATGAAAATTGTTGTCTCTTTAAATGTTTCACCGAATTATCTTTCTTTTATTGATTGTTAGTACTCTCTTGCAATTTTAATCGCTCGTCCGTGGCGTTTGTTTTCATC